ATTGTTAAGGGCAGGATGACATTTCCGGAAGGTATGTAAACAGACTAGAAATGGAGGGCTTTAAAAATGAAAAGTCTTTGTTTCTTCTGCTCCCAGCTGTTCTTGTCTCCTCCTCCCTCCTTCCCTCTCTTGAGCTGTATTCAGGGACTCTGATATCCTCAGGAAGCAGCACTCCATTTTGATTGTTAGAGGCAATGACACACTTCCTGAAGATATCAGAGTCCATCCTCTGGTTACAGCTGAGGAGAGGGAAGTGGAGACCTGAGAACAGGCTAGGGAAGAAGGCTTTTAAAATGCAAAGCCTGTCTCTAGCCTGTGGTGTGATGGTAGCATGGATCATGGCCCTCCTTCTGTCTTCACCACCTCTACAGGGTCTAGGATGGACCCCAGATGCAGCACTGCTAAAGCCTGTACTGAACCCCAGAGGCAGCAAGGTTGGGGAGGTTTGTCTCTTTGCATGTGTTGGGATATTTGCAAGTTCACTTCCCGTTAAATAGTGGGTTCCATGGATGTTGACTTCTTTTGTTGAGTCAAAACAACTGGTTTGCCCACAATGAAGTGTGCCAGCCCCACCTTCCGAGAAAGGCACGCTTATACTTCTTGTAGTGAAACCACTGGCTGGTTGGAATTGAGCCCTGGTCAGACAATTTGACTTCTGCAATGGCTTATTTGTTGTGAAGGTGATAAAAAGAGACTGAGGCCCTGGTCACACGGGAGGTTTTGCCCTGCAAGAGGAACGGATCGGGGGCGCAGCAAACGGGCACAATCAAACCGCAACATCTGGGAAGCAGCGCGCGCCCGTCCCCGATCCATCCCTTCAGGCCAGTAACATGGAGCAAAAAAGAACCTGCAAAAGAGTAGGACTTACCTGAAATGCCACAGCAAGCGTGGCCGTGGGATCGCCGGCGCGCCCATCTTCAGGAGCATTTGAGGCTCCTAGCCGAACTGTGCATGCGCACACATGCGCAGCCAGCTGCCTCAGTCTCCCTTCAGTGGCTTCCCCTCCCCCGGCATCTGATCGTGCTGGGGAGCAACTGCGCAGTGGCTCAGGGGATCTGTCTGATCCCGCCACTGCGTGTCTCTTTTGGTGCAGCTATAAAAAGCCGCACTTTGGCCGTGCTTTTCCCTCCCCGTGTGGCAGGGGCCTAAAGTGTTCTTATGAGGTGCATAATGGGAAAGGAAGAGGAAGCAGTGGATATTCTGACAGTCTTCTTCGTGCTGCTCAGTAATCTGACAATTCTAGTGACCAGTCTGAACATGCTTTTTTAATGTTAGAGTTCAATTTCAGATTGTTGCAAGCAAATATGAATTAAGAAAAGGTAGATGAGACCCCTCCCTGCCCACCATAAGTTTCAGCTGTAGCAGAGAATTATACAAAGGATTAGTTTTTACACATTTTTATTATATATTAAGTTATAAATACATTACAGATGGAATAATATAACAAGGACAAAATAAAACAGATTATTGTGAAATATTCCAAAAAGACAGGGACTTTGCGGTGACTGAGCACGGGAGCCTCAAGACACAGCCTCTCATGAGGGGCCATTTTTTCACAGGGCCTTGATGTGACAGCAACAAAGTAGTGTGGAAAACAGGACAAACACAGACCGAAAAGGCAGGCACTACTTGACAAGGCCCCTTTGGCTTGGAGTAAGCCTGGTTCATGTCTTATTCTTAGCCAGCTGGAGAATGGTCTTAAAGGCACTTCAACGCAGTTTCAGTGACATGAGGAATGCCTCAGCTTGGGCAGTACCAGACTGGAAAATGGTCTGGACGGCCCAGCTACACTGGGAGCAGATTTCTGTGGTGACTTCAAGGGGGTCTGTTCTACGAGAACCCTCAAAGGAGGAGATTTCCAAGCCAACTGAAGAGAAGCGACGTCTGGAGACTCCTGTGGGGAAAATGCCATCTTCTGCCCTTCATTTAATAGCAAAGCCCTCTCTATAGCACTTAGCTGTCCTAATCTAAATAGTATATAAAAATATTCTAATAAATACTATACAAATAACTTAACTATTCAGTCATGACTTTGCCTTCACTGTGATGGGCTCAACTCTCCATCTATAACATACGCCAACAGCCTTCGGCATCCTAATGACAAAACATTCTATATTACATGAGGTAATACCAACACATCACAACTTGTCTCATTTTTCCACACTCGTTTACCACACCGCTGAAATGCATAGTAACATATACAGTTTAGTTGCATCAATATTACACTTCTAGGGTTTTTCCCCTAAAAAAAAGGACTGCTACAAGACGACTTCTTAGCATTGCCCGAAGCCAGGATTCTGTAGTATGCTAAAT